AAAACGAAGCCAATTTTAAATAATGTTTTAAAGCATGTTGTGCTGATTTTTTCAGCACAAAGGCACTCAGGCAGGCTTTTTAGGTGCTGAGCAAGCCTCCGGAAGCCTGCTCAGAGCCAGCCGATCAGCTGTTAGGCGGGGAGAGGAGCGGGGAAAACCACAAAACGGCTGCTAGCCTCTTTCTGGGTGTCGGCTTTTAGCTCTTTCCTGCTCTTTTTCCTGTGGTTTGGGGGCTACCAAGGCCTGGTAAGTGACTTTATTTAACAGTACAGTATTTATTTTTAAGTTTCTGATCCCTTACCCCCCTCCAGAAGCCTCTAAGGGGAGGGAGGGGGGACTTTTTTCCCTGTTCGTAACTCGAGGGAAGTTCGCATGTCGAGTCCTTACTTTCCCTATAGGGCAGGTTCGTAACTCGAATTGTTCGCAAGTCGGATCGTTCGTAAGTCGAGACCCCACTGTATGTCGAGTCCTTATTTCTCCCCTATAGGGTGGGGTCATAAGTTGAATTGTTCGCAAGTAGGGTCGTTCGTAAGTCGAGACCCCACTGTATTTGCAAAAATGTTTATGTTAAATATGTCATCACTCTAGTTTCTGACTTGCATGATTTTGCTGTCATAGTGAAGCAATGCTTTGGTTTTGGATGAAGAAAAGAAGTAATAGCTATTTGCTTGGGTACAGTGTGCTAGAAAAACAACAAAATGTATAAAAGGACTATTAGAAGCCTGCAAAAAAAGTTCACGCAAAACTCTTGATAGGTCGGTTCTGTAGTGGTTATATTTCTAGCTGTTCACAAGATTGCACAGGAAGACATTTTTGGATTCATTATTACTTCTTTCCTTGGTGCTCTACCAGAAAGTGTTACATGAGCAAAACACACGTTCTGCATGTCAGAAGGGCACATTTGGATCCAGCTCACTGGTTTGGAAAATGACAGGTGCATGGGGAATAGGGGATATCCTCAAAGGCTCAACATACAAGATGCCTTCTCCTTAATAGAAACATACAGTTTATATGTGTCTTGTTAGAATCATTAATTTACCTTCCCTTTTGCACAGTGTTGCAATTTAAAAACAAAAATAGAGGACAGAACTCTTCAAGATCTTATTCAGATTGTGAATTGCTGCAGCATAACTTCCTTGCTACAGCTAATGACATTGTCAGAGCTCTTCTGTGAAGCAGCTGTTACTGGGTTTTTTTCGTATCACATATAAACTAATAGGCAGTGTATTGAGTTTTCTGTGTACAATGGTGCCTTGCTTGACAATGTTAATTCGTTCCAGCGAAATTGCTGTAGAGTGAAAACATTGTCAAAAGAAACGGAAAAAAACCATTGAAACGCATTGAAAACCGTTCAGTGCATTCCAGTGGGCTGAATGCCTGCTCGTCCAGCGAAGATCCTCCATACAGCGGCCATTTTCGGTGCCTGTAAAGCGAGGAATCCGTCCTAGAAAACAGCAGGGGGCCATTTTCGTCAGCCGGTGGCCATTTTGAAACCCAACGATCAGCTGTTTGCTGATCGTCGTAAAGCGAAAATTGGTTCCTGAAGCAGGGAACCAATCATCGTTAAATGAAAAAAAACCATTTAAAACATCATTTTCGCGATCACAAAAACTTAATCGTATAGCGATTTCCTCGTTAAGCGAGGCAATTGTTAAGCGAGGCACGACTGCAATGGCTGTGATTCAGTGAGGCTGAATTTAATATTCTTTTGTGGTGAAATGAGCTATGAGGATTGCTAGCGACATGACCTTGCAGGATTTCTTGTAGTGTTCTTGCCTTTGCTCCAGTGTAAAAACTCATTGTTTTTCTCCATCATGCTCTTTCATAGTTTCAGTCTGTGGCAGGATGCCAAGAAAACATTTCACCACTTTAGTCCTGTTATCATCACTTAATATATTGGTATCAGTTGAATTACACAATTTAGCTTCATTTGGCCTGCTCAACATTCAGAGGCTTCGATTTGAGAGAACAGGATTTATTTTAGTATGGGATCTCCTTTACAAACATTGGTCAAAATCCTATTGGTTACTTACACTAGCATAAGGGCAAGGATACAAATTGCAGTGGCAAATTGCCACTAGTTAACCATTTGCCACTTGTATCCTATGTTGTGCACCAATCTAAACAACAGGATAGAAGGTAGAAGATACAGTGGTGCCTCGCTAAATGATTGCCTTGCAAAAACAAGGAATTTGCTAGACTATGACTTTTTTGAGCGATGTTGTGTTTCACAAAACGATTGTTCCTATGGGCAATTTTCACTGGACAATGTTTGGGTCCTTGCCTTGCAAGATGGTGTTTTTTTAAAGGTGTTTTTTTTTACCCTGTTTCGCAAGACGGTTCCCCCCCCCAATTGGAGCACATTAATTACATAAGACCTACTTTTTTATCCCAAAAAATGGGGGCGAAAGTGTATGCTGCTGTTTTTCCTGGAAAGCCAGAAGCATATACTTTCTCCCCCACTTTTTTGGGATAAAAGTAATATGTTTCAAAGGGGGAAAACCATCTTGCAATGCATCACCAATGGGACTGTGGCTGCAAATTTAAATGGTAGAGGAAGGTGAAAGCAGTCAAGAACCAAAGGCTAAAGAGATTGTAAAAAAAAAAAAAACCCAAACAAAACAGAAATCACAAACATAACACCCCCATTAACACAAATTATATAATTGAATTCCCCACATTTGGGGAAATCACGGGTCAACAGCACACCCAAAGTGCAATGGATGAGCCTCTCCCTGGAAAAACCATTTTGACAACATGGCATTTCCCCTACAAAGTATGAATTAGAACGGCCCTCGACGTCCGTAAGTCGAAGCCCCACTGTAGTATAACAGGTATATTAATACCTGTGCACTAGAGGATTGTGGGGGGAACACCTAGCCCCTGATGGGGGTTCCGCAGGGCACCCTAAAACACTGAGGAGCTCTCTTGGCCTCTGGCAGGACTGGGGCTGTGCAGCCCTGTACTGAGTGGGAGGTGCAGCCAGGGGGTCACCATGCCTTGGGGGATCAGGGGACAGAAGGGGGTTTGACTCCTTTTAACCTCTTTCTCTGTTGCTGGAGAGAGAAAGATGGAGAAGGCTATCTGAGACCCATTGAATTTCCAAAAACAGTGCAGGTGAGGGGATTGCTTTTCTCCAATATGGTATGGGGAACTGTGTTTTGCAAGATGTTTTCTATGGACAATTTTTTGCTAGACATTGATTTTTTTCCCAATTGGAATGCATTAAATGGATTTCAGTGCATTCCAATGGGGAACTGGGTTTCACAAGACAATCTTTTCACAAGGTAGAAATTTCCATGGAATGAGTTAAAATTGTCTTGCGAGGCACCACTGTATTTCTAGAAGGTGTGACTTTTGTCATTTAACAGCAGGACTGGAGAGTGAGACAGTATGAAAACGACAGTATGATAGTGTGCCCCCATCAAACAGTGACTCCAGCTCTGCTTTAACACAAGCATTAAACTTTGCTTAACCTAATGTAATTTACTTATACTTTTGTTTCTGCTTTAAATAGAAGGTTATGTTTTAATGACACATCATTTCCACTGGTGGTATAACATTTATTATTCTTGTTTCAACAGAAATCTTTTGGTGATCTCTCAAAAAGGCACGACTTAAGGCAACGATTGCAATGTAAAAATTTTACATGGTACCTTAATAATGTTTTCCCTGAGGTGTATGTACCAGATTTGAATCCTCCATTATCTGGATTTGTGAGTATCCTTTTCTCCTGAGCATAAAGGTATAGGCTTTTGTGATGCTATTCTGCACTCACATGCCCATTTAAATTATTCTGTTTAGTTAAAAAATGTTGGAAGAAGAGCCTGCCTGGATGTTGGAGAAAATAATCTTGGTGGCAAACCACTGATTATGTATACATGCCATGGACTTGGAGGAAACCAGGTAAATGTCTTGTTTTAGTTTTGTGTATCTAATTCATAATTTTGTGGGGGTTTTTCATGCCAAGACCAAATTCTTTAGGATACACTGAGTGATCAAGCTGCTTCCATCCATGGACTTGGGATGGAGGCTATTGGCCCTCCTCCCTTCAGCCCCCCTTTGGTCCCCAGAAGGCTACTCTGGAGTTCTGGGAAACTTCTAGAGCCAACTTTCAGGTGGTACACAGGGCTTCAAGGGGAGGGGGAAGAGAAGTTTCTCACTGTGGCACTGCACTTGATAGCACACAACTGGATTTAGATCCAGGTTTTAAATTTAACAAATTCCCAGGGCTAGAACGTTAGTAATGTCAAATCACAACCACACCGATGACTTGTTTTCTGCAGTTGTCAATGTTATACAGTCAACCCTCGACTTATGAACTTTTTGATTTATGAACGGCTCCATTGGCAAAAATTGGCATCGTCTTGCGAATGGAGCCTTGACCTACAAACGAGCTCGAGGCTCCATTCGCAAGTCAATGCCATTTTTTGCTAACAGCTGTTCGTAAATGGCTCCCTGCAAAAAGGCAGGGAGAAAGGGCTGGAAATTCGAATTTCCAGCCCTTTCCCCCTGCCTTTTTCCTTTTGAAATGCTGGAATGAATTAAGTCCATTCCCATTATTTCAATGGGAAATGGTACTTCGACCTACGAACTTTTTGACGTATGAACGTCGTTCCAAAACGGATTAAGTTCGTAAGTCGAGGTACCACTGTACTGAGATGCACAACTCCATCAGTGTTAGTCTAATATGTCTTTTCATATCTTTCAAGGTGACCCACCTCTCCAGTAGCATGTTAACATTTTCTCTGGAATGAAGCTAATATGTTCATGGGGAAAGGATTGCTCAGATAAAGAAGTCTGAGTTTATATAACATGTTAGACATATAAAGTAATATTCCTGGTATCAATAGTGTTTGAATTATTTTGTCAGTATTCATGTACATTTTATTCATCTGATGAAAGAAAACTGTTCTCTGGCTTGTTATAAGAACTGCATATTATTCACATATCCAGTAGTGCAGCATGTGCATACTTAGGTAATATTAAGCAGGGACCCTCACAATGCTTCTAAACAAGAATATGGCTTCCACCCATTTAATTATATAAGCGTCTACTGTGGGCGTAACTGAAAATGCAAATGAAATGAATTGTACATCCCCAAATGCTAGTTCCAATTCCCCAGGCCTGATGCTACTTGCAGTCCCAGATAACCACTCCTTTTCCTTTGTCTTGACTTGAAGTCAGGGCAGATGCAAACACCATTTTAGTTCCCACACAGTGTTCCTGAAGTTGACATAGATAGCGTCACATGGTGACAAGAGGGAGCTGGGGGCATTATTCAGAAATTAAAATATCAGCCAGAACAGTGTGTTCTGTGTCACTGTCAGCATGGCAATGGTAAACCACCAGCAAACCATTGCATCCTGCACCTTCTGGCTACCAAGGTAAGGAGAGTTCCCCTCCCCCAGCATTGCCAACCTAACTCTGCAGTGTAAGTATTTATCGGAATACTGTAGTTTGATACATGCTTCTTGCGTATAGGATAAGCATTTCCTGTCACGTTGTATATCCTGAGTATAGAGAGGGAAAGCTGTAGAACTCAATCTAAATATTGCTTCTGAGTTTGAATACATTTCTTGTTCTTGAATCCATAATATTGATATCTTGGATAGTGTCTCCAGTGTTATTTTAGCTGTTGCACTGGTTTCTGACTCTCTGCTGTGTGCCCTTTGTCTCTTCTTCAGCTTTTTGTCTGTCCCTTTCTCTGTTCTGTAGGAACACTCTTCATTTCTATCTTGATAATTTGACTCTTCTCTCTCCCTCTTTCCTCTCCTGCTACTTTTTCCTTTGTTTCTAGAACTTTTGATGTCAAGGAAGATACCGATGGGTGACTGAGCAGCAAGGCCCGAGTCATTTGTCCTGTCATACTTAAAGCCTCATGCTGGGAGGTCAGAGTGGTCTTCCCTACACTAAAAACTAGTTACCATTTTGAGCCTATCTGAATCCCTAGAGAAAACTTGTAAACACATTGCATGAAACAGGGATTGTTCGGAACTTACTTCATCGTCTTAGCTTTTGTACCTCTGAAAATGTCACTAGACATACCAGTCACTAATAATTTTATTAAATCTGCCTGCAGTGGTAAAATAACACCAAAGATGAAAGTAGTTGCTGTCTTATTATGTAGCCTTGTTACAATCTGTCCTTCAAAAGATGTTGATAATAAATTTATTGATTAACCAGTGATACCTAGGAAACTATTTTAGTAGACTTTCCTACCAATTTCAAAGTAGAAGAAAAATGATGTAGTGCTTTCAGACAAGCTGGTTAGTTTGAATACTCTGTTGTCAAGGGTACTGTTCTAACGGTCTTTTATCTGTGTGTTGAAGCCAAGGCAATCTACTCTGTGCAGTTAAGAGATTGCCAGCATATGATAACAGGAAAGTTGCTTCAACTTTGTGTAAATAAAGGCATCTTGAGTGCAATGCAGCCCAAGTTAAGCAGGTTTCCCTTGTTTCAATTACAGCAAGCTAATCTTGTGCTTAATTCTTCCTTTGAAATAATTTCGGCTTAAAGAGTGCTTAACTTTGGTTGATTACACTTCTTTAGTTCGGCATTGCTGTGTAGCTGGCCCACAATTTTTTCCCTTAAAGTATAGGCAAAATAAGTATGTTAACAAGGATTAATAGACATTGTACAAATTTTCTGTGCTAACATTGCTTTCCACAGATTCGTTTTATTGGAACCCTGCCTTCTAGTTGTCCCTCACCCCAGTACTCCTCTGTTTTATGTATTGAGATGAAATGAAATCCAGTATTTTCAGTATTCATTTTTAATAGCTTGTATTATATTCCATTACATTTGCCAGATGTTGTTGTGTGGTGTAATATACCTACAAATATTAAGTTTGCAAAACTTAATGAATTTGTCTAAACATTAATTTGAAGTGAAGTTGACACTATTAAGTTGTATAATTGCATTGGGGTGATTTTTATTTTTTTGACTGGCTGGCCTTTGTTTATGCAGTACTTTGAATACTCTGCACATCATGAAATTCGACACAATATCCAGAAGGAATTATGCCTACATGCTATTCAAGGAGCAGTGGAACTCCGTGAGTGTGGCTATAAAGGAAAGAAGAGCAGACTTCCTATAGAAGAAAAATGGGAGATCAGAGAGGTATTTTCTTCCAAACAATTTAGTTTGAATGTATAGATCTTTATATGTAGGCTTGTATGGTGTACATTGTGATTCCACCACCCACAACCAGGTGCAAAAAGCATATCCTTAGTTAGAATTGATGCATTCTCAGCTTAGCTATTTATGTATCAGAACTGAATTCAGTCATTCCATACAAAAATCAACTGTTAGTTGCCCTCAAGCTTTCTTCATTTTTTCGGTACAGTTTATGGCAGAAAAGAAATTATTTTCTTCTTTTAGTTAGCAAACTGGAATTCAAAAGTCCACAGCTCCACAAAGCAGCTGCTGGTGAAAAATATATCTTTTCCTCCCCCCAAATTAATTAAATTTAGGCACTAGTTAGCTTTTGCATGCCTTAACCTTACAGGTCATTCCTACCCAAAGATGCTCAAAGGAGATGAGAGGTCCAAGCATGTGCAGAGCTTCCCTCCTACCTACTCCTCTCATTCTTTAGAGCCATACTTTCAGGTATTCTTTGTAGTACAGCGAAGCCTTCTGTAAATATAGCAGCAACTACATCTAGATAAGGGACGTGGTGGTGCTGCCGGTTAAACTGCAGAAGCCTCTGTGCTGCAAGGTTGGGAGACCAGCAGTCATAAGATCAAATCCACGCAATGGGATCTCCTGCCCCTTGTCCCAGCTCCTGCCAACCTGGCAGTTCAAAAGCATGTAAAAATTTGAGTAGATTCTCCCACCTAGATCTACTTGAGTCACTCGCTATAGCCAACAAAGACGGCTGAGGGGCCTGACGCTGAGAGAGGCCCGGAAAGAAAGAACAAGAAACCGGGCCTTCTCGGCAGGGGCCCCTCGACTTTGGAACAGCTTGCCACCAGAGATCTGCCTGGCACTCTCGCTGGGTGTTTTCAAGAGCCAATTAAAAACTTGGCTCTTCAGGCAGGCCTTCCTTCCTGCTATTTGATTTCCACTTTTCTTGGGGTTTTTTTTGTTGTTATCTTCCCACCTTGATTATATTATTATAGATTTTAATTGTTGTTTTAAACCCGTTTTGCGCACAATATATTGTGAGCCGCCCTGAGTAGATTCCTGTCTAGAAGGGCGGGATAAAAATCTAATAATAAAATAAATAAATACATAAACAATACATCCCTCAATTCCCAGCATACCAAAAAGAACATAGACTGACACATTAAATTAAATAATAAAAAAAACAGAATCTAAGTATAAAACAACTGATGGCTTCCACAGTCACCTAATGGGAGGATGTCACAGAATGCTTCCCTGAACAGCTACGTTTTTGTTGAGCATTTGAATGTGTTCAAGGAAGGGGCTGGATGAATCTCTAGGGAGAGCCTGTTTGATAAAGATTGGGGTCACAGCTGACAAGGCTCAATTTTTAGTCATGGCCTTTGATGCTTCTCTAGGAGTGGCTACCCACAGTAACAACCTTGCCTTGAGAAGATTGGGTGGGGCAAGCAGAGGTTCTTAGCTGGAGGCATTCCAACATGTAATGAGATCCCAAACCATAGTTTTCTGTTCAGCCTACTTCAGGGTTTTATAGTGAGGATATAGTGGAGGTGGAGAACCTCACATACCACCCTAATCTCCATGGGCAAGGAGTGAAATTAATATTTTGTCTTTTTTCCCTCACACTCATTCCAGGGCCAACTGCTGTACAACGCAGCGTTAGAAATGTGCCTGACAGGAAACAGAGAACATCCAAGCATGGTACCGTGTAATCCCTCTGACCTCTTCCAAAAATGGATTTTTGAACAAAATAATTAAAACCACCTTTTGGCAATTAAGAGATGTTTTCTTAAAAAATAATAGCATCTCTTTCAAACTTAGAGTGATTTAACTGAAATTGTGCACAACTAGGTGGCTGTAAACTATTTAAAAGTGTGTTCAGTTAACAGTAAATCCAAAGAATACTTAGGTTTTTCAACTGCTGAAAAAAAATGTTTACATAACACTGGAATTTTCCAGTATAAATTGCTTATATAAAACCTCTGTTCTTAAGATGTTGTAATTCCCTGTGGTTTGGGGATAGTTTGTAATGGTTTTAGATACATATATTCTTGTTAAAAACTTTAGGGACACATAGAATGAAGAAGGGGAAATAATGCAATTATTTTTCTATAGTAAGTGAAAGAAATATAGTGCCTTATCAGTATCATTTTTCATTTTAAACTGTGATGATTTTCTTTTAATGGCCCACTCTGTAATACCAGACTGCACACTTGTAAGCATGTCTTAGAAATACCTTCTAAGTATACCAGTTCTTTTGAAAGTACTGTATATAATTCTCCTACCACTGCTAAATTAAAAGCAGTCCCAGGCTATACTGTTGATCTCCAGGTATCGTTGCTGTTCTCTTGAATCTCTGTATGCTGTGGTTTTGCTGTTCCTTTGTTCAGTGTTTACCAATATTGAACTTTTAGATTCCAAAATTGTTTATAAAATAGTTATTTGTTGATATGAAAAATATTCATAATTTCTCCTGATGTTATGCATTATTTGACCATTCTTGTGTGTGTTTTTAAATATTATGTACATATTCCAGATTTCTATATTTGCTATTCCCCTTTCTTCTCTTAAATTTACTATTTTTTGTTAAATCATTTCAATTCAGAGCTAATATAAAACAGTGTAAATAAAATAGTGTTTTCATCAGTAACATGCAACACTGATGTAACATTCTGGATGTATGCTTTTGATTTCCACTTGCCATGAATTTTAGCTAAATGTCTTGTTGATCATAAATACTGTAGTACAAACCTCATCCTCATAATTAAAGCTTAATGAACACAGCAACAGAGCCCTATGACCAGCCTTGAATAAATTGTTTTAAACTTTTGCAGGCAAAGTATAGTTGTGTTGAAGGTATTTGCATTGCACATCCCATGGGTGTATGTATGTAAAGGAATGGACATCCTGATGATCACACTGAGAATAGGAGAACAAAGGCAAAACCAGATGTTATAGGTAATGTGTACCTAGCTCGTTTGTAATGTCAGTCCAGGCAGAACAGTCCTTTTAAAAAAAGTCTAAAATTACTTGTCCTGTTTATTCAGAATGGATTCCCAGTGTGGTATAGTGGACAGAGTGATGGACAAGGATTGTGGAGAACAGGGTTTGAATCCCCACTTGACCATGGCCTTGATGGCACAGAACACACACACCACACACACACAAACACACACACCGATTCAGAAACGGACGTTCTTCCGCAAGTGGGCTACCCAAGAAATCTGACTAGAAGCTTCACTTAATCCTACAGTATTCAGAGCTTATTTTCATACTTTTACTCTGATCTTGCCCTCTTCATTCCTGTGGATCAGTCTCTCCCATCCCTTTTCTCTAGCCTTCTCTCCCTGTACCTTTCATTTGCTGCTTTGGAGATCTGGCTCCCCCTTCCTAGGTTCTAGTCCTAAAACACTTTCATTTCTTGACCCCTCCTAAAAGTCTGAGCAGCTCAATTAATGGCAGCCAATCCTCCCTTCCACATCTCCCTGAATTGTCCTTACAATCTGCATCCATGGTACTCCTAGAGTTCATAATCATCCTTACATGAAGGTAACAAGCAATTCCCAGGAGATAGCAAGGGAACCATGACTGTTAGGTGATATAGATATGCTCTCAAGAAGGCTTATTCTGAGCTGAATGGAAAAATTGGGGATCTCAAACAAGAATGATGGGTGAGATGAAGAAAGGTTAGCAAAATGGGGGTACAACTCATAGATGAGATCCTTCCCATCTTTGAACAGTATACTGTATTGAATTTATCTGATCCCTTTACATATCCATACATTTCCATTTGACAGCAGAGTCCATTTGTTCCTTTTGCATCACTCTGTATAAGAGATGTCATACATCCAATATTATGCAGGAAGGCTACAAGTTTCCAAAATACACCATTTTGTCATGTGTCAGCCCTCAAATATTTTTATTGATGTGTAGATTTTTTTTAAAGATGCACTAATAATGCAAATTAAATAGTGAAAGGATAACAGTCTTTGCTTATGAAAGGAACATACTATTATGCAGGTTACTAGATTAAATGAAGCAATAGTTTTTCAAACTGCTCGCTTTTGAAACACTTTAAATGCTGATTCAGTGAATTAACCAGCAGAGGATGCTATTGCAAGATAATTTTCAATAGTGTGACAATGCCTTTCTCATCTCTGGTTCTCATCAAAATTTACTTGATAAGGAAGGGTGGTTATGCTTATGAAGAGCAAAACTTTCCCTCCTTGTGCAGTGAATGTAATTGCAATTACTCGTGGAAGTATATGACTGTGTGTTCTGAATACACAAAAACAAAGGCAGGCAGGCAAAGAGTGCATGTAAAGCAACAGAGGGCTTAGCCAGATGGGAGTTTATTCTGGAGTTGTGGGAGTGCAAGCATTTCCAGAATCTGTGTCCAGATCATACCACTGTATTTTCAGAATACAAGTATCCAGACACCCTTTCTCTTATAGTGATATTATGACTGCCTTCCCCTCAGGCTACACCATTAACTCTATAAGCTGCAAAAATGAGGTACAAAGAGATAGGACACAAAAGGAGGAAAATGTGAGCCATTGAAAACACTATTTTTCTTCTACCTCCAAGACTGTGTGTGTGTGTGTGTGTGCGTGTGCGTGTGTTTTTAATTCTCATTGCCTTATTCTGCTCCAATTCTTTCCTGCTATTTGTTCCAAAATATGTATATGTCTGGGGGGGGGGAACCAGGACAGGGAGCTCTATTATATTTGCATTTTTAAATTCACATCCCCTCCCCCAAATGGGATAATCACAGCAGTTCTTAATTTAAACAAAATAAGTCAACAACTGCATGAGCAAGAGACTTCAGAATAGAGCCAGATATCAGAAGCCATCTCGGAAGTTATTTTTTTTTACCTTAAAGACTTGTTGGAAGCTTACTGATGGATTCCTATTACAGCAAAGCACTGAAAATGCTTCATCTGATGAAGTACTGCAAAAGACCGGTGAAGACCCAATACAATACAGACAAAAGGAAATCGTGGTATTGAAACAGATACCTTGGAGAATAAGAGAGGGGAGGAAACAATATCAATTTTTGACTACCAAACTAAATAGGAAAGGAGTGAATTTTAGATGGCTGGTACCTGAAGGGATCCTGATGAATTGGAACTCAAGAAGATTTAGGCTTGACTCCATACATAAAGCAAGAGAATTCCTTGAAAAACATATAACTTTCTTTGAAGAAGAAGCACAGGGATAAGATAGAAATGAAGAAGAAAGTAGAAAACACAGAGACAACACCAGAAGAGGAGAGTGAACTAAGTGAAGAGAGTAGGAAAAAGGATATTGGACAAGATCTGAACAAAATACAAAGAGAAAAAAGGAATACCAGGGCAACAAAACCTAAATATAAGTAAACAAGATGGAGAACAAAATTGGGATCTTCTCAGTGAACATCAACAGCCTGACTGCACCAAGAAAAAGGAATCATGTATTTTCAAAATTACAAAAAACTAAAACAGATCTAATCAATATATAATTCAAGAAACACACATTAAAAAGCAGGATTACAAATATTTGATTTACCCGAAGATTGGGAAACTCTACTACTCAGCTCTACAATAAAAGAAAAGAGGGGTAGCTTTATATGGGAAAGAAACGCTAAACTCTAAACATATCTATTCTGACGAAGAAGAGAGAATCTTAATGGTAGAAATAACAATAAACTAAAAAAAGATTTTTGATGATAGCAATATATGTACCTAATAGTAAACAAGAAAAATTCTAGAAGCACGTAGTGGTGCTTTGCTTGACGAGGATAATCCGTTCCAGCAAAATCGCTGTAGAACTAAATCGTTGTCAAGCGAAAGTAAAAATCCCCTTGAAATGCACTGAAAACTGGTTCAGTGCGTTTCAATGGGTGAAATACCTCAGCGTCTAGCGAAGATCTTCCATAGGACGGCCATTTTCCAGTGCCTGCAAAGCG